GACATGTTGCCAAGGAAGTGAGGTCACGTCTTGGGTCCACAACCTGAGCACCGCCTTCCATAAGGAGACCCTATGGACAATCTTCATACGCATAGTGAAATAAATCAGTGGCTATTTCCTTATCATTATTTTTTATCTATGTATCCATTTATCTCTCTGTCATCTGTTTACTGTTTACTGTTTAGTGCCCCAGCCACTGTGTGAGGGAGTGTGACGTGACTGCCTGCACCGGCAATCCTGGCCTGACTTCTGGGAGGCTCGCATTGGAGAGATTTCCAATCTGTGGCTCGACAGAGGAGACACATGGAGTTAGTGGCCAAACCGGGAGCCAGGAGGAGGGTTGTAGGGTGAAGCTCAGACCGAACTCCCCATTCCTGTATGATGTTTGCCTCGAGAGAGGCAGGAGAACCCCGCACAGAAGTGAGTTTCAGAGGGAAATTAGATTTCCCTCTGAAATCTAATTTCAGAGAGAGAGAACCGTGAGAAGCAGTACCGATACAAGCCAGTTTGTTAGCCAAGCACAGGTGGCAACTGCCTGCATAAAGTGCATTCACCCATGTTAGCTGAGACACCGGCCCTTGGCAGAGATGAGAAAAGAGGTGTGCGTCCTCTGGAGGTGGGTCCGTCTCCTGTGGTGGGTCCGCACAGGGGGACACCCAGGGACACCGTTAAAATGGCTCCAGGAAGGAATGTGCTGCAGGTTGCTGAGCAAGAAGAGCTGGGTGGTCAGGGTCACCACCTCTCCTGCAATGTGGCTCCGGTCAGAGACCCAGCTCCTGAACTGTAGGACCCAGGGTATTGGCCTGAGACACAAATGACAGAGTAGGAAGTCCTGATGTCTTTGGTGAACCCAGCTCTAGAAATCTCATGATGTGTCAGAGTTGGAGAAGGGGTGGAGGGACAGTCAGGGCAGTGCCACATGGACATCTAGGTGCAGGAGTGAAAGTGATGGGAAGTGGCAGGACATACATGATATGCAGAAGGAAAGTTGTGCAGTATCACTGTCCCTTCCCCTATGTTCCCGACAATGTGTGGATAGCGCCTTTGCACCTTGGCAAGTAGGGAGATGGGCAGCGAGGAACTGGGTGAAGGAGGACATGAAGCCCCGATTTCTTTGGGAGCAAGACCTGGATTTGCTGCCTACACAGTCCCGGAGTGAGGGGTGAAGGCTGATGTGTGGTCACCAAGACATTTGTGTTTCTTCTCTACCACCCCGGGCAGGAGTCTCCTCTGTTCCCACCATTACCCAATGGCTGAGCTGGCCCCTGCTGATGTCTTACAGCCCCAATGTCTTGTGCAAGAAAATGTCCTAAAACTCCAGTGACCTGCTCCAGTGCAGTGTCCTTTGTGCAGCTATGTGTTCATCCACCAGCAGGAAGCATTGGGCCATGCCAGCCCATCCTTTGGATGTTTATGACCCCATTGACCTTTTGTATCCAGATCACACATATACTTGTGTTACAGGGTTCTACTCTGATGGGAGAAGAAATGAGTCCAGGAGCTGTGGGATAACACTGTGCCCTGGACCTCCCCACTGGCCAGCCCTCTCCTGGACATCAATGTGCCAGGACACCATGCACACAACATTCCAGCATCTACTGCACAGGACTTTTGTCCCTCATGGTTCCAATTCCCTTACACCCACAAAGAAGGGCTGCAGTTGTGCAGGGAACTCACAGTGGTGCTCAGGTCACAGTAGACATGTGCTGGACTTTGTGGTGTCTGTTAGTAGCTGGTGGACAGGCCTTGGAAGACGCTGCCTGGATTTGTTACCATCTCTGGGCACCATTTTGTCAGCCCAGAGACCTTCTCTGGTCTTCTGTCTAACTCTGTTGCCCAGTAGCAAACTCCAGCAAAAACTCCTCAGGAATGACAGTCTCTGAGCCCATAGCTGTTTGTTGTTGCCTTATGGCCACATGAGCGTAGGCTTCCCCTGAATGACATCCCCTGGTCTCCTAGGTCTTTCTGGGTTTCCCTGGTCTGGGAGGATCTCCCATGGAAGACTTCCCCTGGGCTGCTAGGTCTTTGGCCTGATCTGGGATGGTATCCTATGGGAAGATCTCCCATGGGCTTCTAGGTCTTCCTAGATGGCCCATGACCTGGCATGGAAAGGTACCCCCTGATTAGATCTCCCCTGGGCTCTTAAGACTTTGTAGTTGACCCACGGCATGGCCTGGAAAAGTTTCCCCTGGGAGAATCTCCCATGGGATCCTAGGTTTGTGTAGTTGGCCCATGGCCTGGCAAGGGAAAGTGTCTTCTGGGAAGATGTCCCATGGGCTTGGAGGTCTTTGTAGGTGACCCATGGCCTGGACTGGGAAGTTATCCTCTGGGAGGATCTCCGCTGGCCTCATAGGTCTTTGCACGTGGCACATGGCCTGCCCTGGTTAGGTATCTCCTAGCTCGTAAGACTTTGTAGGTGACCCACAGCATGTCTTGGGAAGGTTTCCTCTGGGAGGATCTCCCATGGGCTCCTAGGGTTATGTAGGTCAATCATGGCCTGGCCTGGGAAGGTATCCTCTGAGAAGATCTCCCATGGGCTCCTAGATCTTTGTACATTTCCCAGGGCCTGCCCTGTGAAGTTATTCTCTGAGGAGTTCTCCCATCGGCTCATCGCTCTTTGTTGGTGGCCCATGCCCTGAGCTGGGAAGGTGTCCTTTGGAAAGATCTCCCATGATCTCCAAGGTCTTTTTAGGTAGCCAATTGCCTCACCTGGGAAGGTATACTCTAGGAAGATTTCCCGTGGGCTCCTAAATCTTTGTACATTGCCCATGGCCTGCCCTGTGAAGTTATCCTCTGAGGAGGTCTCACCTGGGAGCCTTGGTGTTTGCAGTTGGCCCATGGCCTGGCCTGGGAAGGTGTTCTCTGGGAAGATGTCCCATGGGCTCGCAGGTCTTTGTAGGTGACGAATGGCCTGGCCTGGGAAGTTAACCTCTGGGAGGATCTCCCCTGGCCGCATAGGTCTTTGTAGGTGGCCCATGCCCTGAGCTGGGAAAGTGTCCTTTGGGAAGATCTGCCATGACCTCTGAGGTCTTTTTAGGTAGCCCATTCCCTCACCTGGGAAGGTATACTCTAGGAAGATTTCCCCTGGGCTCCTAAATCTTTGTACATTGCCCATGGCCTGCCCTGTGAAGTTATCTTCTGAGGAGATCTCACCTGGGAGCCTCGGTGTCTGTAGTTGGTCCATGACCTGGCCTGGGAAGGTGTCCTCTGGGAAGATGTCCCATGGGCTTGGAGGTCTTTGTAGGTGACGCATGGCCTGGCCTGGGAAGTTATCCTCTGGGAGGATCTCCCCTGGCCTCATAGGCCTTTGTAGGTGGCCCATGGCCTAGCCTGCTAAGGTATCTCCTGAGCTCCAAAGACTTTGTAGGTGACCAATGGCCTGGCCTGGGAAGGTATCCTCTGAGAAGATCTCCCATGGACTCCTAGATCTTGGTACATTGCCCATGGCTTGCCCTGTGAAGTTATTCTCTGAGGAGCTCTCCCCTGGATTCTTAGGTCTTTGTAGTTGGCCCATGGCCTGGCCTGGGAAGGTGTCCTCTGGGAAGATGTCCCATGGGCTCGGAGGTCTTTGTAGGTGACGCATGGCCTGGCTTGGGAAGTTATCCTCTGGGTGGATCTCCCCTGGCCTCATAGGCCTTTGTAGGTGGCCCATGGCCTAGCCTGCTTAGGTATCTCCTGAGCTCCTAAGACTTAGTAGGTGACCCAAGGCATTAAAAGGGAAGTTTTCCTCTGGGAGGATCTCCCATGGGCTCCTAGGTTTGTGTATGTGGCGCATGGCCTGGCCTGGGAAGGTGTCCTCTCTGAAGAGCTCCCATGGGTTTGTGGGTCTTTGTAGGTGACCCATGGCCTGGCCTGGAAAGGTTTCCTCTGAGAAGATCTCCCATGGCCTCCTAGATCTTTGTACATTGCCCATGGCCTGCACTGTGAAGTTATTCTCTGAGGAGTTCTCCCCTGGGCTCCTACGTCTTTGTAGGTGGCCCATGGGCTGACCTGGGAAGATGTACTCTGGGAAGAGCTCCCATGGGCTCATAGGTCTTTGTGAGTGACCCATGGCCTGTCCTGGGAAGTTATCCTATGGGAGGATCTCCCCTGGCCTCATAGATCATTGGAGGTGGCCCATAGCCTGGCCTGGCTAGGTGTTTCCTCAGCATTTAGACTTTTTAGTAGACCCATGGCATGGCCTGGGAAGTTATCCTCTGGGAAGCTTGCCCATGGGCTCGTAGGTCTTTGTAGGTGGCCGATGGCCTGGCCCGGAAAGTTATCCTCTGGGAGGATCTCCCCTAGCCTCATAGGCCTTTGTAGGTGGCCCATGGCCTCACCTGCCTAGATATCTCCTGAGCTCCTATGACTTTTTAGGTGACCCTTGGCATGGCCAGGGAAGTTATCCTCTGGGAAGATCTCCCCTGGCCTCAAAGGTCTTTGTAGCTGGACCATAGCCTGGCCTAGTTAGGTATCTCCTGAGCTCCTAAGACTTTGTAGGTGACCCATGGCATTTCCTGGGAAGGTTTCCTCTGGGAGGATCTCCCATCGGCTCCTAGGTTTGTGTATATGGCCCATGGCCTGAACTGGGAAGG